TCTCTCTCTCAAATAAATAAATAAAAGCTTTAAAAAAGGGGGGGTGGAGGGGGGGGACAGGGAAAAAGGAAGCCATCTGGGTCCTTCCTACTCTAAAAACTCAAGTTCCTTGCACTCATGTTGCTTTCTATTACATCACCCCAGTCCATCATCCCCATTCCCTTAGCTCTTAGTCTGAAACGATCTTGCTTAACGTCTCTTCCATCAAAATACAAGTTCCTTAGGCACAGGGATTGCATCTGACTTGTTTGCTGCTGTATCCCCAGTGCCTGTTACATAGCAGGTCAAGAACACTCTTCTGAATGAAAAAACCATGGCTGCACCCCTCTGAGAACATCCTTCCCCCACCTTCTTCCTAAGTCTCCTATACTCTATTCCTAGCTTTATTATCCCTATAGCAGTCGTTGCCTTCCAACATGTAATTTACCTACTAATCTTGTTTATTGCCTCTTGTATCCCGCTAGAACGTAAGCTCCAGAGGCAGGAATTTTTATCAGTCTTGTTCACTGCTGTATCCCTAAAAACCGTACCTGGAACGTGGTAAGCGGTCAAGAAATGTTTAAGGAAAGAATGAATCCTGATCCCAAAGGGGCTCGAAACCAGACTGCAAACCGCCCCGAGTAAGAGTGTCACGAAACATTTACCAAAACCCGCAGAAAAGTAACTGGGCCACAAGACTTTTCGGTCCTTTCCAGCATCGGAGAGTTCCATGACTAAGGCTCTAATTGGGCAGTCTTAAGTTCACTGGGTTCATCAGGGATCTGAAAGGGGGAGGAATCTGGCTCAAGTTCACCAAACTAGCGAGAAGGCAAGGACTCGAACTCCAACTTTTAAGAAGCTTCATGCCTGGAAAAAGTTGTGGCATGAGGGTGCTCAAGGATCCCTCGGTCCAACCCGCTGCTTGAAGAGCTGGGGAAACTGGAGCCACCGCGGGGCTACTCATTACCTCGATAATCTTGATGAAGCGCGGAAACACCGGGTTGCGGGTGACGGCGATGAGCGGCAGGTGCGGGAATACCTCTGGAATCGTCATAGGAGTCAGCGCCGTTATGATCGGGCCTTCCCCGCCCCCCGCGCTGGCCCCCGAGCCCGCGGCTCCATCCTCCGCGCCGCCCTCGGAGGCATCCTCGCCGCTGGAGAATGCGCCACCGCCGCCGCGGCCGTTCGCCTCCCAAAGTCCCCGCCACTGGCCCGCGGCCACGGGGCCTCGGCCCCACAGCGCCCAGGGAGGCGAGGCGTCGCAGGCCCGCCGGCCTCTGGGCAACCACATTCCGGCGGCAGTCAGAGCCCGCCCCCCGGCGGGGGCCAACAGTGGCCGCCGCAGCGCCCAACATCGCGCAGCGCCCCACAGCCGCACGTAGCCTGTGCCCGCCGCCATAGCCCGGCCATCCTGGGGACGCACAGGACTTGCGTCATCTCCTCTCGCCCGGCTAGTGCGCACGTGCA